TTATTTTTGTTTTGTCTTGAAGACCAGGAGACTCAGACCCTAAAAGATCACCTTATAGATGAGCTCGACTATGTCCTTGTACCAAATGAGGCATGGAATAAGCTTGTCAGCTGGTATGGCTGCCTTGAGGGCCAGAAACCCATTGTCAGGAAGGTAATTGTGGTAATTCCTTCTTTTTTCATTTCACAATGCAAGGCACTGACTGATCTCTCTAAATATCGTCTCTCTTTGATAGGTGGTTGAACATGGCATGTTTGTGAAGCATTGCAAGGTGGAAGTCTATCTGCTTGAGCTGAACTTGTGTGAGAATGACAACATGGACAATGTCATCACATGTCATTTTAGTAAAGCTGATACTATAGGTAAGGAATGAAGTCATGAGCGTTACATGAGCCAAAATCTATTTTAGATCTCTGGCCATATTTGTTTTACAGATGTGCTTTGTTGTATTTCTAGATGCAATAGAGAAGGAGATGCGTAAGTTATTCAATATCCCTTCAGAAAAGGAGACCCGACTCTGGAACAAATACATGAGCAACACCTATGAGCAGCTGAACAAGCCAGACAGCACTGTACAGGATGCTGGGCTCTTCCAGGGGCAGGTAGTTCAGGACTTCATTCAAATTACTTTAAGAGTACTGATGACCCAGAGCACCTCACAGCCTATTTTATATTAGTATACTTTGTGCATACATTATTCATTTATAGTCATAAACAAACAGGACTATCATGGAGCCTAATGCAAAGCTGCACATTAGCCCTACATTAAGATGTGCATTATTTTTGTTGAGCCTGTTGAAGAGGTTAAGTTATGATTAAACTGTTGTGTGTTTTAGGAGTATCTTTTAGCCTTAGGATAGCAAGCACTGTGTTGTAAATATTGTTTCACTTCTAAATGAATGTTGGACTTGGTATAGGGAAGGGAAATATGTTACCATAAAATATTATGTACTATACTATGACCTTGCACTTATCAAATGAGAATGACAGTCAGGAGTTAAACATATAAACAAAATTGATATTTACCAAAAAAAATAAATGAACTCCAGGTCAATCTTTTCAGCTTWAAACTAGAGAATAATTTACATTTTTAGATGATAGGACATAAGACATAAATTTGGTATAGCTCCTTGCACCTAACGAAGGTTGTCCTCAACTGACTCTATTATCTTTAAACTTCAGGCAGAAAAAGTTTTGATGTTATAGACAGGAGTGTAAAGTTTAGCATTTATTCTGCTCGTCTCCCTGCAGGTTCTTGTCATTGAGCGCAAGAATGAGGACGGCACGTGGCCCAGACAAGCTTCCCATTCCAAGTAAGTGATATCTCTATCTCTCTTTTCTCTCCATATAGCCCTTCAGAAAGTATTTTGTATCCCACTGCAGACTTTTATAGTAATTAGTTGAGCATGCCAACAAGAGTTTAAGATCATTTGTAGGAACATGCTTTTCTGAGAGATGCTTGTTTTTGCTCATCAGATCCAGTGCAACCCCATCCCGAAATTTCACCACCTCCCCAAAGCTTTCCTCAAACTCATCAGTCAGTATGTCCTCAACAGTAACCAATGGAGACAGCAGCTGTAGCCCTGGATACACGCTGAACAACAGCACCTCCTCTAGCAACAGGCAAGGAATCTTTTCTGTTTAAGTCCACTGATATTTTCCTGGTATGGTTATTGTTTTCAGCGCAGTGTGTGGAAAGTATCAATGTGAAACTAGCACCAAAAATTAGAGTTACTGAACTGAAGAGCTGTTTTGTGAGATTGCAAGATAAATTTTACATGTACACCTTTCTACAGTCATTCAGTTTATATTTTGTTTTAAAATGCTTCCTTTGGCTAGGTTAGTTGTTTATATTTTATACATCTTTAAATAACAGCAACAAAAGGCTTTTGCAACAACTGAGTAGTTATTTGAAAGCAATTAAATGCAAATAAAAATCAAAAAGTTATTCATGTCAAAATACAGTACATAAATTAAAAACAGGTTTTTTTCATTAATATTGCTTAATTTTAAATTAAGCCTAAAATACCCTCTTCGTGTTGTATATTTGAAGGTACCAACATTAACAAATACGTTTTCACAACAGATTTGGAAGCTACAACTCGTACAGCTCCTCCTACAACTACAGAGATTCACAATCACAACCTGGCCTGTGTGGTCTCAGTAATTTGGGCAATACTTGCTTCATGAACTCTGCTCTCCAGGTGAGAAAAAATGTCACAAATAAATTGGAATAAAAATAAATAAAGATACTGGCTTAACAGCTAATATTTAGAGGAAGTTGATTTACACAATTTTGTTTAACGTGTTTGTCTAATCTGCTTCCCTCTAGTGCCTGAGCAATGTGTCTCCACTCACAGAATACTTCCTCAATGATCAGTATGAAGCAGAGATTAACAGAGAGAACCCGTTGGGAATGAGGGGTGAGATTGCTGAGGCCTACGCAGATCTAGTAAAGCAGATGTGGATGAGCCGCAGTAGTTATGTGGCACCGCGCACCTTTAAAGTGAGTCGGACAAAGTATTCTGCAGAAAATATGTCCAAATGAAGAAGCCTCCAATCAAAGGCAAGTAAAATTAGTAACAACTATCCTTTTTCATCCAGACCCAGGTTGGACGCTTTGCTCCRCAGTTTTCAGGCTACCAGCAACAGGACTCTCAGGAGTTGTTGGCCTTCCTGTTGGACGGGCTTCACGAAGATTTGAATCGTGTCAAAAAGAAGCCTTACCTGGCCCTGAGAGATGCAGAGGGCCGCCCAGATGAGGTACATTTATATTTATGTTTGAATGTACGGATCTGTGAATTACTGGTTTATTATACAACAATAAAATGTATTTTTTATTTGTGGGATTATAGATTGTTGCCAAGGAAGCCTGGACGAACCACCGCTTACGCAATGACTCAATAATAGTGGATATTTTCCACGGACTTTTCAAATCAACACTGGTGTGTCCAGAGTGCGCCAAAGTGTCTGTAACCTTTGACCCCTTCTGCTACCTCACGCTGCCTCTCCCAATGAAAAAGGACCGGACCATGGAGGTCTTTCTGGTGCGGTCAGACCCTCAGTCTAGACCCACACAGGTGAGTCCAAATCAATCTTCTGTCTTACTGCAAAAAACTTGGAATTACAATTAAATGAAAGTAATTAATATCTGCTACTAAGGTTTTTGTTTTGACAAATTGCTTTTTTAAAATTTATTTCTTTATTTTTTGTCAGTATCAAGTGGTGGTCCCCAAACTGGGCACAGTGACAGACCTGTGCAGCGCCTTGTCCAAACTCTGCGGAATTCCTTCAGAAAATGTTAGTAATTTTTTTTCTCCTTTCTGATTTGTTTAATTRTTGATACTTGGAATTTGTCTAAATTTGTTTTCATGTCTGATTGTTTTTATAGATGGTGGTCGCAGATGTTTACAATCATAGGTTTCATAAAGTTTATAGACGAGATGACGGCCTCAACCAAATCATGGAAAAAGATGACATTTTTGTGTAGGTTTTACTGGTCTGAAATTGAGCTGATGTGTTSTCTGCGTTGGCAGTTTATTGTGATGTGCTTCCTTGTGTCGATGCTTGCAGGTATGAAGTACAGGAGGAGGACAGTGAAAGGATGAACCTGCCTGTTTATTTCAGGGAGCGCCACTCGAAGCATGTTGGAAGCTCTTCAAGCACCTTACTRTTTGGCCAGCCTTTACTCATCAGCGTACCCCGGCATAACCTGATAGCAGATGTTCTTTATGACAAGATCCTGGAGAGAATTGGGTGAGAATCTAGTCTGGATGACRGAATAAAATACCAGATTACAGTGAAGGTATAGACTCAGTCTGATGGGTTTCCTCTGGCCCGTTGCAGGCGATATGTAAAACACACACACAGCCCTAACGGTGAAAGCAGGGCGTCTGCATCTGCCACCTTGTCCAGCTGCAGCCAGGCTCCTGAATGTTCCACATCATCCAGCCTGGGTGGCTGTGGCAGCCCCCAGTCAGAGGGKGCCTCATGCAGTGCCAGCTCCAGTAATGGCAGCAACCACTCAGGGACGTGCAGCGAAGCTAACGGGATCTATGATGGTAAGCAGCTGACATGAACACTGAGGAAATGGCAGTCATAGGAGTGGAGGCAAGAAAACAAACTTTTATAAGAAATTATAAAGATGTTTATTTTTCTCGTTCAGGAGAAGAGGAAGCCATGGACCACCAGGTGAGTCCTGAACCAGAGAATGGCCAATCGGAGGAAGAGGAGGAGACATCTGATTTGGAAAACGGGTCCAGAGGAGAATCAACAAAGCTCTTCACTTTCAGCATAGTCAACTCTTACGGAACAGTCAACATCAGCCCGCTGCCTTGTGATGGAAACGTCCTCAAACTTAACCGTGAGTGCTGAAAATTGAAGCATCTCTTTTAAAACTTTTTTTAAACCACCTTGTGTCAACGCAGCTTCTTCATCTGTTCTCCCTGCAGCACACTCTACTGTGGCGATCGACTGGGACACAGAGTCAAAGAAACTGTGTTATGATGAGCATGAAGCAGAGGTCAGTGGGTTCATACTCCTCTGCTCTTTTGACCAAATATGTGAACAATATTTACATTTTCTGAAACTATTTGTTTAGGCCTATGAGAAACACGAGAGCATGTTGCAGCCTCAAAAAAAGAAAACCACTGTGGCTCTGAGGGAATGCATCGAGCTCTTTACGACAATGGAGACTCTGGGAGAACATGACCCCTGGTGAGTTTTTTTTTTTTTTTGTGAATTCTTGGTGAGAATTGTCACTTTCCTGCTGTTTGTGTCAGCTGAATCTAATCTTTTTGTGTAGGTATTGTCCAACATGTAAAAAACATCAACAGGCCACAAAAAAGTTTGACTTGTGGACGCTGCCTCGCATTCTGGTTGTTCACCTAAAGCGTTTCTCCTACAACCGATGTTGGAGGGACAAGCTGGACACACTGGTGGATTTTCCCATTGGGTATGCTTTCAGGGTTTTTTTCCCAGTGATTTTAAGTAAACAAACAAAAAAAAAGTAAACAAACTGAAGGCTGTTGTTAAACATTGTGTAAACCTTGGACCATCAGTCCAAAGGCAGGAATTATACTATTCCCACTTCCTGCCAATTTGGACTCTTATGTTTTAATTTTTAAAAATAGCTTTATTACAATCAACAACCAGCTTAAAAGTCAAACAAAATAAAAAGTATTTTTTATCGCTTTTTTCCACTTATTTTTGAGACATTTTAGCACTTCATGTAAAAGTATGCATTACAGCAGTTGAATTAAAACAATCCTTTTAAAGGGGATGAATATTTATAAAGTCACTTGTTTTACGTTAAGTTTATTTTTCATGGTTTAATCTGTAGAAATTAGGCCAATTTATTTTGACCATGATTGATTTAYGGTAGTAATAAAAGCATATAACGTGAACACTGTAGTACGCATTGTATCTCAGAACTTGGATTATCACTCAAAGAAACCATAAAGCTATTGTTTATTTTCCTTGTATGTTGTAAAAGCTCTCTCTTAAGTTTTTTTTTTTTTTTTTGGGGAAAGTACAAAGTTTCTTCTGTGCTTAAAAAGGAGAAGTTGCCTCAGGATCACGAGACTTGTTTTGAAACTGGATCTACCAGGAATTAACCAAATACTGTTACTTAAGTTCTAGCTTCAAGAAATTTGCTTTAGACAAAAAAGAGCAGGGGATTACTTACAACATATGACAGGCGATATGTTGCAATTTTCTTTTTAAATGTAGTTTTTATCTATTTTTAGGCCTTATTTTTACCCTTTTGTTTGTTTCTGTGTTTTTCTAGGGATCTAAACATGTCAGAGTTTGTTTGTGACCCAAAGGCGGGCCCTTACATCTACGACCTCATCGCAGTTTCAAACCACTATGGAGGAATGGGAGGCGGTCACTGTAAGTCACAGTTTCATATCCAGGATTTATAAAATAATCTGACATCACAATTTTTTGTGTGGGTGAAAAACAAAACAAAACAAAACTACCAAACAGTCCACACAGTTTTAACATAAACTGCTTTTRTCGGCAACCAAATTCAGCACTAAAACATGGAAATGTGTCAAAAACAAAGCATTATTTTGTCTGTTATTCCAAGTAAATAAACTGCTACTTATTAGTTTGCTGACGCCGTGCTTTCTGTGTGAGACAGACACGGCTTATGGAAAGAACAAAGTGGATGAAAAGTGGTATTACTTTGATGACAGCAGTGTCTCGTCCGCCTCCGAGGACCAGATCGTGGTGAGTTTTGACTTTAATTATTGTTTGTCAGCATGATAATTAAAGCTGAAAGTTCTCTACCTGTTGGTTCTGTTTTGTGGTGTCTGGTGTCCCTGTTGTTGTTTTAGTTGTGTAATTTTAACCCTGTCATCCTGTTGTAGACTAAAGCCGCCTACGTGCTGTTCTATCAGCGCAGAGACGAGGAAAGCCCCTCCAAAGCTCAGTCTTCAGCCTCGTTGGGAGGAGCCCCCGAATCAGCCGATGACCACATGGACACAAATTGAGGAGCTCCCGACACACACACAAACACACACACATGCACTGAAAAGCATATGGCAAACGGACACTTGGAAATGCACACAAAATGCTTCTTTTGTGACTGAGGACTCCACAGACTTATTAATCCCTCCTCTCCTGCATTTTATTTGATTTTTGTCTCGTATGTTTTTGGCTTGAGCCAACAGCCTTGTCTGAAGAGTGAACTGGGAGCCTTTCTCTCTGCGGCGGGTGGCCTGTTGATTTCTGGACAGAATTTAATAGTCTGGAGCAAAGAGGAATTTAAATAAATATAGATCCTCTTGCTGGATGACCGAATGTTAAGTGCCCTCAAAATGTGTAGATAAGCAAATGTTTTTGTTGCCCATAAGAAGAAGAAGAAAAAAGAATCAATTATTAAAGAAAGAAAAAGCCAAATGCTCATATTGTTTGAACCAAAGCATTTCTAAGTATTTATGAAACAAAGCAGACATTAGAAGATCCTGTTCTAAATTTATTGCGATTATTCTTGCTGTCTGGGTGTATATGCAAACTTAACAAAGAGATATGCACACAGAATGATAAATACCACTCTGATAAGAAGACTGCAACCTGGTTTTAGGTGGATCCATGGGGTTTGTGCTGCTTCAGATTAGCTGTGGCAGCTTTGCTCCAGGCCTGCTGGTTCTGTGTGGCAATCTTAAACTCTTCTTTTCAAGGTTCGGAACATCATCCGTCAAAGCTGTTCTGGCCTTGTTCTTATTTATTTTTTCTCCTAAATTCGCAGCCTTGGCTACACTGTCTCTGATGCCCTAAATGAAGAGTTCTACCCTGCTAACATTTTTCTTTTAATGTTTTGTAATGAGTGGCGTTGGGGAAGAAGCGGCCTTTCTCTTCCTGCATCCTGACAAAATAAGATCCTTTCAAACCTTCACGAGAACACGACCCACCTGCCTGTAGTGCAGCTAGCCGTAGCAGGAGTGTGTGGTGTGGCTGTAGCATTAATGGTTCTGGTCCGTCGTACACCTGACGGGTCGTTTCACCGTCTTTTAAAGGAGACATCGATTGCTGCCTGATTAGATCCATAGCTGTGCTGCAATAGCTTGTCCTCATTAGTTGTGTACATTCATGCAGCTCTGTACTGAAATGGCTGTTATTTGATATTTTCGAAGCACATTGAGTGAAATGAAATAAACTAGAATAAAAGTGGTGCTTTATTCATGTAACTTGAACTTTCTCCTGATGATGAGGAACGGCGGAGGCATTACTCCCACAATGTCAGCAACTTGAACTACTCCACAGCTGTTGAGTGAATCTAATTTATTTCTGGTGATTTACAAAAACAGCCCTTTTTATTTTATCTTTACAGGCATACATTGATGTAGAAGAAAAAACTGTCAATGCAATCAACCGAGAAAGTGAGTTTTCTTGTGCTGAATGTGAAAGATTTGGTAAAAGCAGATGGAATTTAAAACACAAGTATCTACTTTTATAAAGTCTTGATCTGTGGCATCGTTGCCCAGTGACATGTTGGGTCTGTCTGCTGGTCTACAGCTGATTGCCAAAATATAATCTTTAATGTCCTTTATTAGGAAAGTGTTATATCTTTAATCATAGTCTCTGTTCAAAGGCAGATTTACCAAAAGCAGAAACTTCTGACAGCAATTCAAGATGTGACAATTAACCCAGCAGATGTAAAATAAGAATCATTTGATTTGAAACAGGTGTACAAATTCTTGTCCACATATTTATCCAGTTTGTTTTTAAATGAGAAAGTATTTAAATCCATATTACAATAAAGACTGGAAGCCTCAATTTTTTTATGTTTGAAATAATTGAATGAATTTCCATCACACAAATTCTAAATTAAATGTGTWCATGAACTGACTTGTTTAAAAATGTACAAAAACGGACGCATCATGGTGCTTTATTTTGAAAAGAGGTTTTCTGGAGTGGTTCTAAAGCAATATCTTACCCGATTATCTTAATTCTGACTAGATTAATGAACTAATGGCTAGTTAAAACAAGGCCAAGTGGATTGTTTTATATTTTTAAAACAATTTTCTATCATGCACCTGTCCAAAGCAAATATGTTATTGGGTAAACTTTGTTAGTTTTCTCTTGTYCCACCCATAACTTCTGACCTGGTCAAGATAATTTAATGAAATTTCATTAACATTAGCATCATTACTGGGAGTGTTGCGAACTTTTCATCACCCCAGCTTCAAGGTCAAGGTAACATAATATCAAGGTCAAAGGTTATACAAGGCCTTTGTTTGTCCAGGTCATTGCTGTAGAATGGGTTAATAATGGGTGTATATTGTGCTGTATGTGGGAGGTTTTGTTTTTCATAGTTTGTGCAACACTAACCTTTAAGATTTAAATAATGCAAATGCAATTGGCAGCAGTTAGCTGTAGCACATCCAAGTTCAGCCTWGGATATAACATTCACGTTGAAATGTTTAAGAAATGCAAAACTGAGGATGTGAAAGTTTATAAAATAGTTTGCCTGAACCATCAATCCCCCCCACCCCCAAAAGAAAAAAAAAACTGTTTTAGATTGGCAGCCAACAACTTTTGTCTTGGCCTCACTCATCATAGCGGTTAGCTTGTGAATCCTATCAGAATAAATCATTTCTCCWGAGGTCATTCAAAGAGCAATTTACAACAAATAAGTCAAATATGACCATAACCTTTCCACCAAACAGCCAGAGATCTGGAAAAACTGGTTCAAACTGCACACAGAAACCGTATACCGACACCATGCAGGTGTKGCAAAATGATCTGTTGCAGGTGATGAAATTTTAATTAGCAGCCACTCCTGCTGGCTGTCTACAGAATGAACTCTGAGCTGTAATTGAGTGCAGTGTGGTTCTGTTGCATTTGTGAGGAAAATATAGAAAAAAAACGGATTTAAAAATCATAGATCTCAGACGGGTCTGACGAAATCAAGTTTAAGTTTGACARTCTAAATCTTTTTATTAATCAATGACAGCGAATGCAGAGGTTTGAGAAAAAAGTGTTATTTATTGGTCCTCGACATACATCACACATCTGTGCTGTACAGGCACGTGATGGAACTGAGAAAGTTGCGTCTTTTACATTTCATCCGACACCCTCCTCACACGTTTCAGAGGATGTCTTCATGTGGTAAAACGACTCCAACACAGTCATCACATACGAGAGAGCACAGGAAGTGTTGGAGTGTAACCGCCTACAGAACACATGAAGGAAGGTTACACACACAGGCTTTATTTGGCCTGACTGAGGAGGTTCTTGATGTCTCCCTCAATGCTGCTGGTGAGGAAATTCCTGCTGTAGCGTTTGAACGGTGTTCCATCAGGCCCAATGAGGAACTTCTCAAAGTTCCAGGACACRTCGTTCCTGCTCACCGGGCTCCAGATGATGAACTTGGGGTCGCTCATCAGGGACGTACGGTCGTCACTGGGGTGAGGAAGCTCATCCTTCAGGAACACAAACAAGGGGTGGGCGTCCTTACCATTCACGTCCACCTTCTCAAGGAGCTGAAACTTGGGCTCGAAGCCATTTCCAGGACGGACGTACTTCAGAGAKGCCAGGATTTCTTCATTCTTGCAGTTCTCCTGCAGGGTTGATCATTAACATTATTCCACAATGTTCTTTTCTTCAGATTTGATCTTATCTGAATCAGGAAGGAAAGAAGGACTTCCTCGTTTTACACAAATGCTTAAAATTACAGAAACCTTCCCCGAAACCCATTACTACCCAATTCATTACATTCAAGATATCTCATAACATAGAACCACAATTTATAGTGTTTTTAAGGTCTAACTTTAAAGCTGACCACAACTTCCACTTTTCTGAAAACCTCAAAATTTAAACAGCAAAAACAAAAAGAAAAAAAACTGAAAAATGTAAATTTATAAAAGTTTCTCTTCCGTGTAAAACAGGAACTTAAAAGGTAAAACAATAAACCACAGAACAAAATTTCTCATCCTGCAGCGCGAGTGGTTTTTGCTCACCTGATGGCCGAACTGGTTGCAGGGTACTCCCAGGATCACGAGCCCCTTCGCGGCGTACCTGTCGTGGAGCTCGTTCATCTGGGTGTAATCCCTGACGGTCGTACCTCAGAGAGACGCGACGTTCTCAATGAGGACAACTTTGCCCTGAAGAGAGGAGAAGTTGAATACTTCTCCTGTTAAAAGCTTCGCAGTTAAGGAGTAAAATTTCGAAGCCATTTTTTAGGGCTTGTTTTCCTTCAAGACGACTAGACACTTCTTCCAGCTCCTACGACTACTGACCTGAAGCTGCTCCCACCTCGAGTAATAAACTAACAAAGATCATGTTCTTGTCGTCAAGATGTTTACCCCCTACTGCTTTGCGAACATCAAAGAGAGAAGTCTGTGTTTGTCATCAAGAGAGTTCCCTGTCAGGGCAAAAGAAACAAGAACACGTGAATGATAAATAATGTCAGTGTAAAAACAATAAAAGTAAACAAATTATTTAAAATAAAAACCAACAACAACAACAAATAATTAAGCTTTTCAATGTTTTTTTTATTTCTGAATTCATCATTAAAAAGGAATACACACCACATGAATATACTTCACAAAGGATGGCAATTCTTAGAAACAAGAAAATACTTTACACAACATAAAATATACAATTTATTGAAAACTTAAATGTACTCRTTGCAGTATCAGGAAAACAAAAAAGTTAAAGAAAATAGGAAACAAAATTTGCACCTTTTTTTCTACAGTACGGTTATTGTGCTCTTAAAGCAAAATTGTGAACATGCACAAACCGTGGACCTATGGAAATTGTCTGTAACTAGGTCAATGTCCAAGGAGAAGTCGTTTAGGATCAATATTGTAGGATTTTTATGTATTTACTGCACTAAAAGGGCTAGGGCTTTGTTTGCAATCGGTGTGTACCTGAAATTTCAACATTACATTTCAGTATATATAGACCTATTAAAAATATTGGAGCACTGCACCATTTGTTAGAGTTCTGGGATTTCAGAACAAACATTTTTGAAAATGAGAAAWGTTTTCATATTTTCTTGGTTCTTGGGGACTTTTAACTTCTCACCAGGCCTCTCACCTACACAACAGACTGTCCCCAGTTCTTAATTTTTGGTGAGAAGGCAAAGGAATTTGTGCTCTTTTGAAGTTTGTGGGATGATCACATGCACATTGCTGACTCTTGATCATCATGTGAGATGATTTTTCTTCATCATGTGAAATGTGTGGTCAGAAAAATTAGTGTGTGAAGGATGKATGTGCAGTGTAAGCTGTAATGTCCTTTAAACATAGCTTTAGGTAAGACTTGGAAAGTAAATTAAAAAAATCTAGAGGTTAAATAAGGACAACTGTTTGCAGACAAACCAAGATTCAAGGAAGAGGGTGTGTGTTTTCTACTGCGGCGTATACCGGAGGGTGGCTACTCCGTCTGCCAACAGCTAAAGTGGTAAGAAAAACATGCGCTGTGTGGAAAGTGAAAAACAGAGTAAAATAGTCAGTCTAAGTATTGATATAGCACAGCACAYCGCTAAGTGGAGAAAATATCTCGTAACTTTAAAGCGTTTACCGTTTAAATAACAAATATGACTAGTCATTTCAAAAATCTGGAATGGAAGTGTCGTGAATCCGATTTTATGCTAAAGGGTCTTGCCATACTTGTTAACAAATCCATGAACGACGTGAGTGGGTGGAGCTGGCAGTGACGTTAGCCACGTCGTGCAACGCACATTCGCGCGCAAGTTTGTTTTGTCATTTCGGACGTCTGTGAGCTCGACTGCTSGGAAAAGTATGTTTCTTTATCATAATTTTGGTTATTCTGTCAGCTAACAACATCACGTCGATGTAACGTTACATATGAAGCGGATGCTGTTTGTGCTATCCGTAAAATTGACAATACGCAGTGTTGTTAGCTGCCTTTTTTGTTGTACTAACAATGCTAGTCTTACTAGGTGTAGCTTTACAYGTTTCTCTCCTTTATCACCAGATGCTGCGCAAAAAGCGACGCTCTTCTGTAGAACAAGGTGAAGGAACAACTACATCCACCAGTAAGTTYACTAGAAACTCACACGAACTCAATAAATTGGGGAAATTAGAAGCTGTATATCTTTGGCAGTAAAGTGAAGTAGTGTCTGCTTACTAAAACGTTTCCTACAAAAAAGGCACCCCCCCCAC